GCATTGTTACTAACGAAATTTTGTTTTTAAAAAGTAGTTTCATAAGAATATTTACTAAAGGTGGTTTTTAGCAATTTATTAGGTATTTTTACAAGAATATTAGATGAAATACAGGTTCACCTACTTAAAATTTCAAGGTTCATTTTATTTGCGGTTAAATCGGAAGTGACATTTGAATCTTGAGTCTTAAAACAAAGTAAAACGCGCAATATGATCTAGTATAAGCCAAAAAATACTAAAGTTACGGAAATTAGTCATATTATTAGTAAAATGTTACATTATAAACCCCTAAACAACTCGAAAAAAATCTTCGTTTACTAAAAAAATCTAAATTCTAGCAATATTTATTATACAATCGAATGCGGTTTCAAAGATAACAGGATCAATAAATCTGAATCTCTAAATTTTGGAGCTAAATGCTCGGATAAAAGCATGCGACCGATAGGGGTTACAAAAATAATCGATTTATCGTTTTCATGAAAATCAATTTATCCGTTATAATTAATCGATTATTTTCAATCGATTATTTTTATTGGATTATTTTTGATTAATCGAACATTTTCAATAAATTGTTTTCGTTTTTTTTAGGTAATGGAATAATCGATTATAAAGGAATTACAAAAAGAGAGTAGATTTATTCAAAATATTTGATTTATTGAAAATAATCGATTTTTTTAGAAAAATCGTTTTATTTAATCGATTTTTTAGAAAAATCGATTTATTGTTTAATCAACTTTTTAAATTAATCGATTATTTTCGATTTACCGAATATTTTCGATTTTTCAAAGGTATTCGAATAATTTGTTTTAAAATACAAAAAATAGATTATATAAAAATAATCGATTGATCGAATATAATCGGTTATATTATATAATCGATTTTTCGGTTATTTTTTAGAATTATCGATTTATCGGTCAATCGGCTTTTTATTAATCGATTATTTTCGATTTTTCAAAGAAAATCAAATAATCAATTTTAAAAGGAATATGATAAAAGAAAAGGATTATTTGTAAATAATCAATAATTCAGTTTTTTTTTTTGGAAAATCGATTTATCGTAGAATCGGCTTCTTAATTAATTGGTTATTTTCGCTTAATCGGTTATTATCGATTAACCGAATATTTTCAATGTTTCAAAAATGATCGAATAATTGATTTTAAAGGAAATAATTATTTTTTTTAAATCGATTTATCGATTATTCGACTTTTTAATTAATCGATTATTTTAGATTTATCAAAGATTATCGAATAATCTGTTTCAATGTAAATACGAAAAAAAAAATCTGATGTGTCCAACACATGACTTTCCTATCTAATTATTATAGGCATTTTCCGGTTATTTTGTACAACCTATTGCAGCATCTCTATAAATGTTTAGAGGATAAACTAAATATATACATTTTCCACATACTTCTACCTCGAAACATTTTTCTATAGATATTCATTGAAAACGAAAATACAGAAAAATTTAAATTTAGCACTTTTCCATTACGGTCCATTTTAGAAAAATCATATATAAACAAAAATTATAGAAATCGATATCGCAAACAACTTTTAGTTCAACAATTTTCATAAAAATCAGAATTTTGCACATTTTGTCAAATTTCTCGAATACGGACCATTTCAGGAAATTTTGACATAGAACAAAAATTATAGATAATAATATTAGAAGTAACTTTTATTTAAACAATTTTCTTCTCCAAACATAAATAACAGATATATTCCATAAAATATAAAAACGGCCTCCCATAAAGTACCCCCCCCCCCCCCCCAGATGTTCCGACTTTGTCCAAAATCTAATCATTTCACGTCAGGCCGAAATAAACCTTAAGTTTAAAATTTAATGTTTTTTCCTTTATCCGTTTTTGAGTTTTCTTCAAATTTCGAAATTTACACATTTTCTCAAATATCTCGAATACGGTCCATTTTAGAGAAATTATGTATAGAACAAAAATTATAGAAAATTATATTACAAACAACTTTTATTTGAACAATTTTTATAAAAAATTATTTTTTTTACATTTTGTCAAATTTCTCGAATACGGACCATTTTAGGAAAATTTTGCATAAAACAAAAATTATAGATAATTATATTAGAAGTAACTTTTATTTGAAGAATTTTCTTCTCCAAACGTAAATAACAGATATATTCCATAAAATATAAAAATGACCACCTATAAAGTACCCCCCCAGATGTTCCGACTCTGCCCAAAATCTAATCAGCTCATTGGACGCTGAAACAAAGCTTAAGTTTAAAATTTGGTGTTTTTCTGTGTATCGGTTCATGAGTTATGCGTTATACAGACACACACACACACACAGACACACACACACACACACACACACACACACACACACACACACACACACACACACACACACACACAGACATCATCGCGAAAATAGTCAAAACGGATTCAGGGGACCTCAAAACGTAAAAATCCGTCGAAAACTCGAGGTCGAAAAAAATCATGATTCCTATACTTTCCTTATATCTGTATACAGATAGGAAAGTAAAAAAGAGATTATTTAAAAATAATCGATTATTTAAAATAAACGATAATTCGTTTATTATTTTTTGTAAACACTGATTTATCGGTTAATTGGCTTTTTAATTAATCTATTATTTTTGATTTTTCAAAGATAATCGAGTAGTCGATTTTAAAGGAAATACGAACAAAAATAGATTGTTTAAAAATAATCGATTGATCGAAAATAATCGATTATTATTAATGATCAATAATTTATTTCGATAATCACCCACTCCTAGCGACCAAATGCCTTCTAATAGGTTTAAATTTTAAAATGTTATCTGGTTTCAGACATATGCATTTCTAGAGTTTTATGTGACTCATCCTCTATATTAATTAATATTTCTAAATAAACAAGCTTTAATATATCTTTTTCTGAGGTTATAATATAAAACAGCATTTTCTCATTTTGACTAATTTTTAATATTATGTGATAGTCGTAGAAAAAATATAATGTTCAACTCACAAGGTTTGATTTGCAGTATTCGCCTGCGCACATGCTTTTTTTATAATACTCTTAGACAATGATTCCCATTTCTTACTCGATTAACAATATTCTATTTCAACATTTTACTGTAGTCTCTTACAGAAAAGTCCATAGTAAATAATAGCTAACGAATTCTATAAAAGGTCTTCTCTTTACATAAAATGTCGTGGCATCTGTTTGATATTAAAAAATCACGTTAAATTTATTTCATAATACAAAATTCCATTAAACGTATATTTTAAATAAATCTAATAGTTCATTATGATGTTAATAAACAAAGTCCGGTCCCTGTCACAGAGTTCGGGTCCCTGCCCAATTCCCCCACTCCGTTAACCTTCCTTTAGAAATTGGCAACATTTGCGCAGGTTAAACACCGGTGTAAGTTATATCTCTGGTCTCTTTTATCTAAGTTTGAGACATACTTGATTTCCTGATATGTGCTGGTTGTTGGAAAGTGTACCTGTAAGTAAATTCACCTATTAACACTGCTTTATTTATAAACTATGTACATTATTTGTTTGCTTAGAAAATTAATCACATTGGCTTTGAATTTAATTATTGTTGTGTATATATGGCTCTAAAAATTAAAAATGCATATGTTTCCGTTTTTAACTGACTAACCAGTCACCTTTTCGAGTGATGCCCAAACACACACAGTTATTGAGCCCAAGTCGGGAAGGTTTCCATCCTATTAAACTGGATCGAACCCCTCCTGACACCACCGTCCCCCTGACATCTTCGCTACGGGGGGGCTCAAATTTCCATCCTATGATTAGTATGCCATTCCTTCTTAAAGGGCTGTGAAGGATGACATATTATCAGCATTTGACAGGGTTTGCTGAGGGCATTTCCCTGTTTCGTCGTCCGTGCACGTTCTGTGAAAGTCGCCACCTGTGAAAGCGACTGGGGGGACCTTCTCCCCCAGGTGGTTAGTCGTCACTTCGAGTGATAGCATCACTTCTCTTGTGGAATATTTTTATTGGCTACGAAGTGACACTTATATATCACAAGGAGGTGATGTAATCGTTTTGTTGATTGCAGCGATGTAGAGCAAGGTACAATGTTAAGAGTATTTCAACATCAATTATGTGAAAAAATGGGTTTGATTCAGTATTAAAGCCATGTTTTCATTTATTTTTGTACATAATAACACTATATAAATAACAATACTTTAACATTCAATCGAATACATTTTTAAACAAAACTGTCCTAAAGCCTCATAGAACCGAAGAGCCTTAGGGAGACATTTTATTGAACTCAATTGTTTTCTATTATTGCACTGATTAACCCCTCGACTTTTGATCCTATAGTTTTGATTCATCCAGTATTTCTTGTTTAAATATCTTGCTTTTTGTGTTTGACAGCAAATTCCAAAATTGCTCCCTTGAAAAAATATCAAGGCTACGTTATTTCAAGTGCAATTACAGTTTATTGTTTTGCCATTTACACAAAAAATAATCTACTTTACTATAAATTTTAAGCCAAACAATATAAAATATTTACTTAGCTCTATTAAGAATTATACAAGGGCACAACTTTGGGCACCTCATTTTAAATTAAATAAACTCGCTTTTTTCTTAACATTGTTTGGATGTAGTTTATTGTGTATGTAGGTCAATTTATATTCATAACTTCCTATTAAAAGTAGAATTAAAAACATTATTGTAGCTACTAGTTAACTAACCCAAGTAACAGCATTTCAAATTACCTACAATTTTTCAATAAAACTAATCAGTAATTCCATCCACACTTAAAGTTATATTTATTCTTATACTGTTAATATTAAATAATTTCACATTTATATATATATATATATATATATATATATATATATATATATATATATATATATAAAACAATACTTATTCATTCAATTTAATAAAATGGAGTTCTTTGCATATGATGAAACAAACATGTTGATAAAATGAACCTGAACTTAGTAACCGATTAATTCAGTCTCATATAAATTTAATTTTCTCCAAGGGATACCTACGAAGCTTGGGAATGGCCCGAACGGCAGAAGTAAAGCGTGACGCCAGAATCGGAGAAGCTGAAGCTAGAGCCGAAGCAACTATCAAAGAAGCCATCGCCGAAGAACAAAGAATGGCTTCAGTTTTGCTAAACGACACAGAAATCGCCAAAGCCAAGCGTGATTTCGAATTGAAAAAAGCCGCCTATGATGTAGAAGTACAAACCAGGAGCGCCGAAGCTGAGTTAGCATACGAGCTGCAAGCGGCCAAGACTAAGCAGAGAATCAAGGAGGAACAAATGCAGATTAAAGTTGTAGAGAGAACACAACAAATTGCAGGTACACTTTGAGTTAAATAAACTAGTATAGTTAAAAAAATAATATGCGTTTTTGTATTTTAGTTCAAGAACAAGAAATTGCCAGAAGGGAACGAGAACTTGAATCTACGATTCGCCGACCAGCAGAAGCTGAGAAATTCAGATTAGAAAAAATCGCCGAAGCTAATTCCAAGCGAGTTCTGTTGGAAGCCGAGGCCGAAGCAGAATCTGTAAGGCTAAAGGGTGAAGCCGAAGCATTCGCTATTCAAGCTAAGGCCGTCGCAGAAGCAGAACAAATGGCCAAGAAAGCAGAAGCCTGGAAGGAATATAAGGAGGCAGCCATGATAGATATGTACTTGGACGTTTTACCGAAGGTAAATAATTCTTTTTGGTTGTGGTTGAACAGTTTTTTCAGTTGTTTGTATTTTAGGTTGCCGCAGAGGTAGCTGCTCCTCTATCGCAAGCCAAAAAAATCACGATGGTGTCTACGGGAACGGGTGAAGTTGGTGCTGCTAAACTTACTGGCGAAATATTTGATATTGTGAACAAAGTACCTCAGCTTGTTAAGAACATGACGGGTGTCGACATTTCCAAGGTAAAAACAATTATGTATCTTTGTTTATAATAATCCGAGTATAGTTCAGTTACAAAAATATAGTCAGTGATTCATTTTTGTAGTTCAAAAGTTAGTTATTTCTCTTATAAAATACAACTATTTTTATAATATTGCAGTTTTTGCCACTTGATAACGACGGTAGTCCAAACTAATCGCCAAAATTAGGCCATGTTGCAAAGCTTTACAAGTTTAGAATTTTATTTAGCCAAATTACAATTTTTATTCTCATTAAATTGAGTTTTTTTTTTGTAAAGTTTTGAACTCTTTTATTGTGATTAAGGAAGTATGAGCAGTATTATTGTACCCTAGATTGCTCAAAGCGATAACAACGGTTCGCATAGTCAAGGGTAATATTTATACAGAGAGAGTCTGTAATTTGGAATAAATTCAATAGTTCAAATACTATTGTTTCTTTTTAAAAAATACAGCATCGAGATACGAACAGGTCTTGCAAAATGTGAAGGGGCACCATCTTGTTGAAACCAAATGTCTTTATTCGGGACATTAGTATGTACAGAGTTAGGAAAAAATTAGTTAATTACGGCACTAATTCTTCTTCCAATAATTCCAAATATCATACTCCATTGAGAGTTTCTGCAAATAATATTGATCCTATAACTTGATTTTCTACAATCCTTGCCCAAACATTCACTTTTTCTGGACGTTGAGTATGGCCTTCCCTCATCCAGCGTGGATTCTCATCTGCCTAATATCGACAATTTTGTCGATTTACCTCACCATGTAACATAAACGTAGATTCATTATCAGAAAACACAATGTTCTCTACCAGAATATTGTTCGTGTCGGGTTGATCCATAATTTATTAACAAAACTGCACTCTTCTATCAGGATCATCTTCCAGTAATTTCTGGAGGATTGTAAGTTTGTAAAGATGCAATTTATGTGTTTTAAGAATTCGTGCTACTGACGACGGGCTAATTTCAACATAATTAGATATCTGCCTGGTAGAGATATTAGGATTTTCTTAAACAGATAGTAGTACATTCGATATCTTCACTAAGGGCAGTTTGTCGATGAATACTTGTTTTTCTTACATGCCCGTTTTCCCTAAATTGTCTTTCTATTTTACTTACAGTACTTTGCGATATGAGTGGCAGGTCGGGATATTTTTCTTTGAATAGACGCGTAACTTCCGTTTGTGTTCTTGCTGTATTTCCATATCCAATCATCTGTAAATTTTCAATCTTGAGCTTTTCAGTTAAATAAACCATATTGAACGATTTTTCCAAAAAAAACTGTCTTTGTTAATAATCGATATGTATTTTTAAACTTCAAAACATTTGTTGTCTTGATAAAAACCTAAATTACTGGTTTTTTCATAAAATGATAATGTACAAGTCTCAAGACATGATATTTTTTAATTTGATTTTTCTTGTAATTGATAAGAAATAAAAATTTGAAATTTGGCAGTTTTGTACAACTTTACAAACCCTATAAAAATTTAACAAAACTAAAGATAACGTCATATCTTTAAATTGGGACATTGTATGTAAAAAATCTCTATTGGAAATAATAATAGACGGGTCCGAGCACTTCAAAAAAAAAACATTAGTATTTGAACTATTGAATTTATTTCAAATTACAGACTCATGTAGCAAAAAGGAGTTCTTGGCGCATATTTTTATCTTTAATATATCGAACATATCTTAACAACAGAGCTTCATTGCCGGGTAATGTAGACTCTTCCAACTGGAGAAAGAATCTGTTGGTCTGAAAAAAATTGTACAAAATGTTTTCCACGTCTCGGCTCATGTCGTCTTTTCTAGCCAATTCATTAAAAAATCTCTTGTGTCAGCTAAAAGGGAATGGTTTAAAGAGTAAAATCTTCTAGTTTTTACTTGTCCTTCTTTATTAAACCAAAATTTTTAGAAACTTAGACTTCATTCCGAGTATTCCCCTGAAATATTTTCGAATTTTATTGGCTACTTTTTAATTATAATAAGAATTCCGTTATAAAAATACCTGACATGTAATTGTCAAATTATTTTTTCGTTTTATGGCCTAGGTTTATATAGAGACTGTGCGTGACAAAAATGTGAACTTTATGGGGGGTTTATTAATGTTTTATAGGGCATTTATTGTTTAGTAATTATTAATTAAATAAAGTCAAATTATTTTCGCAATATTATCGAAAAAACTTGTTGCATCCGTGGATGTACGAACACATCATTTTAGAAACCTGGATTTGATTCGATAGGTAAGACATTTTATAAATTTTCACAGGACACACTTAGTGTCTCACACCCAGTAATATACATAATTACATAGATTGCTTATCCATATGTAAATCAGACGACGAAAAGCGTATTTCAGTGGGCAAAGTTTTCTTTTTATCTATTTTGTATCAATTTTGAGCACTTAGTTGTAAACAAATCATTTACAGAACCGGTTTAGAAATTAGAATATTTAGGGTTTTTTTGTCATTAAGATTTTTACATATTTAATTTATTTATTTAAAACACTATTTACAATTTATTTATAACGTATTAATTATTTTATATAATACTTAAACACTCACAATTCTAATTTATTTATTACAATTTATATTTTCTGTCCAACACCTAAATTCAATCTTAACCTCTTGTCGACAAAGTCACGGCTATTTATATAAAAATGTAACGGCCCAGAATGAACCAATCCTGCTGGAATAATCTTGAATCGTTCATGAAGTGCTTTCTCTGTGCGTCAGCGGCATACCTAGAAAAGTCCGGTTTCAACCATGAGTTAGGTGGCACACTTTAAGGTCTCGCTCTATAGAGACGGCTCATTCATTCCCATGACAATATTTAAATGAACCTTTTATATAAATATAATTTTACAGATAATTAATAGTTTATTCTGTTAATTAAAACTAATGTAGAATGTTACTGTGAAATTAGAATGTCCAATTTGACAAGAATATCATGACCCTCTTTACAATTTATTATCACTAAAATTAACAAATCATAATTAATACATTGCAATTACTGTCAAAAGAGATTGCAACAAACTTTAAAATATTAAACATCCATATATTTTTTGTAAATTTTTTAGTGACATTACCATTAAATATTACTCAGAATAATAGATAAGTGTCCAATTACAACTCTTACCAAAGTTGTTTATATCTCATATCAAAGTTGTTTATATATCATATCAAAGTTGTTTACATTACCTTTTCTAAGTTGTATTGCATATTGCCATTATGAGTATTATATAGTGATATTTCTGAAATGAGAGTGGTCTAAAATTATTTACATTCATCCTTATAAAAATTGTTTAGACCTTCCAAACCATTTCTTATTTTGTATTACCACGTATCTGGCCCTGGTTATTTTATACACATTCGATCGGAATTCCCATAAAGATAAAAAATGATTCGCTCACTACTGAACTATAATTATATGACCTTAAATTAAGCAGGGAATTCATACAAATCAGTATGGAATAAAACAAATCAAAAAGTTTATTTATAATTACATTCGATTCAACATAATATTTTCGAATTTTTGCAATAAAAGTACAAATTTTAACAGTATCGCTGATGCTGACTCCTGGCCATCGTCTTTTTAACTGCATAAAGTTGCCAAATTTTGTCTCAAAAAAAATTTAATTATGTTATACATCTCACTAGTGAAATTTATTATAAGATACTGTAGCCCAACATAGGATGTAGCTTATAAAACAGCATTAAATTAAATATGTTACAAATTGTCCAAAATGTAATTCTAAAAATAATATTCAAGAAAGATAGATTATTTTTCACTCAAAATCTATATCAAGAAACCAGTATGCTAAATATCCGATTAATAGACATTTATCAATGTTTAATAAACACTTCATAAACAAAAAACTTATAAAAAAATACAGCAACACTCAGTCAAAATTAAACTTAAACCTTATTGTTGAATTTTTTAGTAAAACAGCTACCCAAAACTTATTTATCCCTACCTTTATTCCAATACCTCGTATGACTAATTTTAACGTTTAAAGGTAGGCGAAAAAACTACTTATTATTAGAACATCTTAGAGAGTCTGATCCGTCCTATTAAAAATTTATAAATAACTTAACATTTTTTCTCGTACCTGGTATTAGAATCATTTGATAGAAAATCCAAAATAGATACAAAACCAGTCTTTAACAAATCATTTCGTCAAAAAATTCTAATACGTATTATTGGAAAGAAGGTAGTGGTATATTCTTCGATTCCCAAAAAATGTGCTTAAAAAAATGAAGAAATAACCAATTTAAAAAACCAAAATTGCCCAGATAAATTTCCTTTCAAGTTGTTACATTATGTACTGTACAAATTTAAATAGCATATTTCTGCATTCATTTCAACCTATGAACAAATATCCAATCCTCCATGGTTACCGAACTACAAGCTTTCCAAGATCAGAAGATAAATTAACGTAGTATGCCATGTGGTTGAATATGTCGAAACACAGCACTGAATGTTTGGTTATTTGGAACTTGTCAGTACGGAAATCGTCGTCGTTACTCCCTACAAGGCTCGCTTATTTCCATTACACAATCTACAAAAAATGTACAATTTATCGTATGATCTTTGAACGCTTGTATCTCAGCAACCATGGAAAAATGGATATTTGTTGACAGGAATTTTTTTGCTTGAAATGAGCTCTGGAATATATTTACGTTTGTACATTACGTCATTCAACACCCTGTATATAATTACCAATGCTTTGCTTAATGGCCCTCTGATAATCACTCTTGAATATTGAAATAGTAAAATTGAAACTATTCAATTAAATGTTTTTAAATTGCCTTAAATACCGCTTAATGGCCCTCTGATAATAAACTCTTGAATATTGAAATAGTAAAATTAAAACTATTCAATTAATTTTTTTTTAATTGCCTTTAAGGTAGTTCACTCGCGACAGTCGTACATAAAAATATCGCTTAATGGTGAATACCAATAGTTCGAGATTCTCAATGCTAATCAATTTTATTTTTGTAA